TACCATCTCTAGTTTTCTGGGCTTTGGGGGTGATAGTGTGGGAACTAGTAACAGGAAAACAGGGTAAAGAGTAGCATTCCAGAACGGTAAACTCAGCTTTTCGGTTATTCCCCTATCCTGCCCATAGAGATCAAGGAATGTCCTTTGTGGCACATAAGAATTTCTGAGGGTTTCTTTTGATTTTTGGTTTTAACTTTTCATGAAAGACGGTCTGGGTTTTTATTAGTCTTTTTTATTTTTTGTAATTTTTTTTTTCAGTGTATGTTATTCATGGTGTGTCTTTGAGTAGCCCTGAGTCTGACTCTCAGCACCTCTTGCTGTGCCTGGGGCTTGCTTCTGCTAGTGAAACTGGTTTCTCTCTCTTTGATCCCATAAGATTTGAGGGGGATGAGAGAGCACCACAGAGGAAGGCAAGGCATGACGGGGCTTTCTTATCTTCTTAGACTAACGCTTACAAAGTTTTCATTTTTATTCAAGGGGAAAGGCAGCCTCTTTACATGTTTCCTAAAGAGAAGTAAAATCTCATAGAAGTTTAAAAGTTTACAGTTTCTTCAGCAGCCGTGATGACCTAAAGTTCACATTCCAACTCAATTTCTAGTGCTTTTTCGTAGTGTTCTTCCTAGTTTTGCTTATGCTGCTGTAATATTTTTGTAAAAGAAAGGAAGGAAGAAAGAAAGATGGAGACCAGTGCAAATGTTTTTGACTTGACTTTTTTAATTAATCCATGAATTCATTAAAATAAAAAAATTAAAAGCATGACATTTTTACTCTCAGAGCATACAACGGAGCTTTAGGGAAGGCAGCTGGTTGTGTATTTTTCAGTCTTACTAAAATCTTACTTATTATTAAAAGATGGTCAGTTTTGAAGATGCTCGTTTTGGAAGTTGGGTGTTGAGCTGCTCTGTCTCCCACACTGACTCTGAGGAGTAGTTTCAGCATGGTAAGGAGCCCCTTTCACCCCTCTCACCCTCCGACGGCAGCTTGTGCACATGCGCCTTGTGTTACAGGTTTGCTGCTCTGTGGGTGAACTTGTAACAAGTGCCTCTGATGAGTCCAGCCCGTATCCCACTCAACCTGTTTATTGTTCCCCAGGCTCCTGGATGCTTTGCTATGTCTTAATGTTTTACCCTGTCCTCCTTGTATACAAAATGCTACATTCCACTTCATTCTACCGAGAAAATGCCACTACTTTCAAAGGAAAAACTTTTTTACTGTTAAAAAATATAAGACAAAAACCAAAACAAGCAAAAAAAAAAAAAAACCAACAAACAACAAAAGGGTTTGAAAATTTAGATTTTATTGCCATGGCACACATTTGGTTTTTGCTTTTCTTCTTTCTTTTCTTTTTTAAAAAGATGAGTTTTGCTGTGTGGTCTTTTACCCCCGCCACCTGAGTGCTGGCAAGACAGCTTTGCACCACCTCGGCCAATGAGCCAAGCAGTTTTTTGCTCTTTCAGTTTTTCAAACTCTTGACTTTATGGTGGCTTAGTTTTTACTTAATAAGATACTGAATGGCTCCATTTTTTTATGAAGGTCTGAAAATATTTTAAATATCATTATAGAAGATATTCTTTATTATATGCATTACTGTTTACAGGAGCAGGTTGACAATGCCAAAATGGTTCCAACACCCCTTCAGTCCAATGTAGCCAAAGTTTGGACTGAAGTTTGGACAAAGTTTGGAAGTTTGCAACTTCCGTCATGTTGGGCATCTGCCGAGGTGGAACAGTAAGGTCCAGTTCCCAATTCAGAGGAAACAACTGTGTTCTTATCTAGACAGTTCCCAATTTTATTTTCTTTTAAATGTTTTCAGGCATTTGGCACTTCCTACTCTTACCTGTTAAAATCTAATCCCAGATGGCATCTGACAAGGTGCAATTAACTTTTTTCATTGTACAGTTTTCAAACATTCCTCTGCCAGAGGATGACTGTGGATAATGCCAGACATACATTGAAAAGCCTTGTTTCATGGTGAATGATGCTGACCCTAGTCCACTTTAAACTCAGGTTTGCAGAGACCACGATGCCACGGCATGGGCCTTTTTGCCCAGGGTATTAGAGGCCTCAACACCCCGATGGACAGAAGTTTGGAATGAGCTCTACTTTTCTTCTAAAGTTGATACCGTAGTCACAGAGGAACTTGATGTGAGAATACTGGTTTTATTCATGTCACATCAGCATAATGTGCCTGTTTGTTAACTTTACCAGACTCCATGCAAGCATCTTGCTTTTCAGTATGTGTTCCACGTTACTTCCAAGTCCAACAGAAGAACTCTGATACTCCTGCTTGGAGTACAACATTGAAGCCATGCCCCTGAAAGTCATGATTTCATCCCCGATGAGGTGGAAAACTACAATTCTCTGCTTAGGATAAGAATCATTAGGGCTGGGGGGTGTGGTGGGGAGGTGGACAGCCCCATTGATAGGGAAATTGTCAGCTCCCCCTCCCCCAGAGAGTTGAACACTTTGCATTCTTTACCACATGCTAAGGCTGAGTCAGGTCAGATCACTGAGGCTTAGAGTTCCTTTGTACCATTTCCTCTGTGTGACCAAGTGCTTCTGGGGCTTGAGTTCTGAATGCCTGCCTGCTCTGATAGTCAGGTTGGATTGTTTTATTTTAATACATCCTTGTGTTCATTTGAAAATTAATATTCTGCTATATAAATTTAGGGGCTCTTCATAACTGAGAATGAATAGGAGGCAGTCATTTATTTATTAAAAAAGAAACAGAGTAAATGGTCACCAGACCGAGAAGTATTTCACTGAGAGCACTTGCCTAGCATGCTTGGGACCCAGGGTTTGATTCCTTACTCCAATCCAAAAACGGTCTTTATAAAAATTCTTCTCTCCTATAGTTTTAAATTTTAGTAATTACACAGTTGACATTTAGAGTGTTGTTGTGGTCTCTTTCTGTATAATTTAGTGGTATGTATTTATCTGATCTGTTAAATCATACATTGGCTCCTGAAAGCAGAACCTTTAAGATGGCTTTCCGTTAGGTGACAAGAACATGTCTATACCATTTGCTCCAGTCAAAGACTCCTATGCATTTGTCCTTGTAGACGGCTGTACAATGAATTATGTTGTGGTATTTAAGTTTATTACATTGTATCCTAATTGAAATGTGTCTTGCTGAAGACCACAGTTAATATTCATACTTTTTGCTAGAAGATGCTTTGTGTCTTTCTTCTCACCCTTAGTCCTTAGGATCCCAGCTTTAAAGGCCCCTGCTGACTGTCACCCTCCGGTTCTGGACTGGATCTTAATGTTCTGATCTTTCTGGGTTAATGGAGGTTCATGGGTTTGATTTTCAAGTCGCCATTATATTTTATACCTGTTTGTGGTACAAACTCTTAAGGCATTTTGACATTGGCAGAGAACACACAGCTATTTTGATACATATTAAGACAGGGTTTTTACTTTAGAAGCTTTTGTGGTGGTACTGTATCGTGGTAGTACTGTAATGATTTTCATATCTTGTATTTCTGAATTACACATACAAAGTGGGGAACAAGCTTTACTGATCTGAGAATTTATTTTTCTAGAAATTTGTCTTTTTAAAGATACTTAAACTAGAAAAGTCTTCTACTTGGCTTCCTAGGCGTTTCATAAGGCCTGATTTTTATTATTTTTAGGAAGTAATATTTTTATAATATATACTTAGAAATATGAACATTTATTTCAGGTATGCTCTGTCTGTGTGAGTAAAAAATGCCTAAGAAATAGAGAATTTAATAAAGCTTCTTGAACAGTTACATTTCATATGCAAATAGATTTTCTGACCTTGTTTCTGCTTATTCTGTAAGCTGTGTCTAATATTGACAGCAAGGTGTAGGTAAAAGAACACCTTGGTTTCTTGTAAGCAGAAATGTTTGCTCATCCTGAGAAGACGTTACTTAAACACGTTTTTCATTGTAGGTCGTCCTTTGCTGCTTGGAAATGCTCAGACACCTCACCAGTGCATATACGACTGTAAGATTTTCATAGAGAGTGTAGGTTGACAATATCTCATTTCCTATTTGCTGAGGGTTTTTTTTATTAATAGGTCTCTGTTAAATTTTATTGTACGTTTTCTGCATCTATCTGTTGATACTATGATTTTTTTGTTTATACTTTTAAATTATATTTATTTGTTGTACTCAGTGGTGAGTTCTATAAAGACATCTCATTAAGTAGATCATTTTGGAAGCACCTTAAATTGCAAGCCGAACTTTTTCTTTAAATTTGAAAATTTTATATTCAAATGGCATGTGATATTGCTTCTGTAATTTGTATGTAAGGTTGTTTAAAAGAAAAGTTATTTCCACTTCACTAATGAGTTTATATAACTCCCAGTTTTCCTCATTTTACATATATTGGTTGAATTCTGGTGATGAGCCTGCTGGGTGGCCTCCAGGCATCAGATCTGTGTACTTCTCCCCTCAGTCCTGATGGCTACAGGCCTTTCCTCTTCCCTCCACCCTTTACCCTTTGTGTCTTTGCTATAGCCCCATACATCTTCCCTCCACTTGAAACCCCCTGCTTCCACGCAAGTCTTTGGCTGAAGGCCCTTGAGTTTCATGACACAAAGATGTCAATGCCAGGAGCTTTTGTAGGCAAGGACTGTATCAGAGATGTTTCTTCCCTCGAATGGTCCGTAATCTAGCAGAGAACAGCCAGAAAGTGGACTGTGGTTGACAGGAGGTGTGATTAAGCTATGTTAACGAATACAGAACAGATCGGTTCAAGGCATTGTTGAGCCCTTTTCTCGGTTTGACTCAGTGAAAGTATACATCCACACTCTGGGTAGCAGTCATTACACCTCTGCTTCTAATGAGGGAACAGGCAGAGAGAGACAGAGAGGTTCATTAACCAGCTTAAGGTCACAGCTGTCAGTTCCATGGAGCCAGAATTCTGCCTGAGGCTTCTGGGGTTTTGTTTGTTTGTTTGTTTGGTTGGTTGGTTTGGTTTGTTTCCTTTGTTTTGGTTTGTTTGTTTGTTTTGTCTCTTAGCCTCCAAAACAAACTACACCTAAGCTGCCTGGGTGGCGAATGGAGGCTTCCTGGAGAAGTCAGGGCTGGTTTCACACAAGTGTTTGAGCTGGAGCTTAAGGAACTGATAGGAATTTCCACGGTGGAAAGTTAGGTGTGTTTCAGAGAGGGGAACAGATGTCGGGGCAAAAGATGCTAAGAACGCATTTTCAGACACAGCTCTGTGGTAGAGCTCTTGCCCGACATGAGACAGGTTTGATCCCCTCTACTGCCAAAGGAAAAATATGGACAAAGAAAAACAAGAAAACCATCAGAAGTTAACACAGCTCTGAGAAGGGCAAGTGGGAAGAAAGGGAGGCAGGCTTGGGCAGATCTAGTCATAGGAATGAGACGCCAGCTTTTGAACTCCATTGAGCAGAAAAGAAATAGCAAGGTTTGAGTTTGAGAAGGGTGTGGTGTCCCACGGAATGCAGTTTTAATGTTGCCCAGGCTGTAGGGCTACTGCAGCAAACAATCTTCGTTCGTTTGAGAGTTACCCCATTAAAGACTACTGCCAGTGGAAATGTCACCTCAAAAGATGCTGAAGTGCTTGGCCTTTGGAAATAGGGTTGGTGTTGGTGTCCTCAATAGCCTTAAACAGAATGACCAATGACCTTATGAGAACCGGAGAAAAGGGAGCGACACAGGAAGGACATCTTGATAGGGGCTGAGGTGGGGAAGACATCAGTGACTGCTATCAGTCTGCCACCAGCTAACTAAGAAGAGACAAGGGAAGACTTCAACCTTGAGGAACAGCCATTGCTGGTTGTGAACTTCCTCCACCTTCTACAGCTGAGGAGTGCTCAGACCAGTCACACAGCTTGTGGTGTCGGGACACAAGCATGCTAACATTGCTATTTAACTATTTTAATTTGTAGTTACTATCCGGAGGCACCATGAGGTCTGCTAAATAGCAAATGAGTGTAGTTGTTACATAGAAGAATGTAAATGCTACTTCTACCCAGTTTGGTATGGGTGGTGAACTAGTTTGTTCAACCACTTCAGTTGCTATCCAGAAATGAGCAGGCTTTGAAAACTGTCGGGTAAGAAAGTGAGCACTATTTGTACATTGCCACTCTGGTGCTGGGCATTGGATCCAAAGCCTTACACAGGCTGGGACAATCACACCCCAGGCCTCTGCTCACTGTTAAGTTTGCACTCCAGTGTGGCAGATTTCTTATTCAAGCCTAGTGGTAGAGGTTATGGCTTCTTGTAATGGATTTGCCAGGCTTAGGATCCACCATAAACTAGTCGGGTGAGTTTCTAGGCTAGGTTAGCGCTTATTTCCTTCAATCTGATAAAAGTGTTTCCCAGGTATGACAAGAATGGCTGGACAGCACAGAAAAGAAAAAAATAATGTGACCAGTCATGGGAAGAAAGGTCTGAGCCTGGGTGTCCTGGGAGCACCACCAGTGAGGCACCCACCAATGCCTTCACACTGCTCTGCACCGGAGCCCATGGTGCCTACACAGGGCTTGTGAAATCAAAAGCCAATGCTTTGGCTTACACCTAGACCTGTGAAATGTTAGATTTTTAAATAGTTCATTTTATTCAGGTTATATGGCGTCAGTCTCAGCCTCTACCCTCCCCTGTCTCTGTCTCTCTGTCTCTGTCTTATTTTGTTTACAGATTTATTTTCACAGCTTTTAACCTGAAATAACAAAAATGTATCTTTCTATCGTTTGTTTTCTCAGTGAAGAGTCCCCGCATTGTCTCCTCCCTCATTTCAGTTAAAAATTCCATAGCCGGAAGGATTTGATATACATACTTACACTAACTAGGTCTATGTTCGTTCTACAATATTCTTTTTCAATTTCATAAGCTTGGGAAACTTTCACATTGATCCGCAAGAGAACTTCCGGAATAATGCTGCGAAGCGCCAACCAGCAGGTGGCGCACCTCGCAGGAAAGCTTTCTGTTTGGCAGAGGATGAAGAAGGGCCTCTCAGACCCTTGGTATGTCAGCCTTCTCTGTGTCAGGCCCTTTTCCCTTCTACTGCTACCAAGCAGAGGTACCACAGGTTGGTCCCTGGATTCCGAGGAAGTAGAAGCCACCTTGGGAAGTGGAAGACCAAGGTCCAGAAGGTCTCAGTTACTTCCTACCTCGACCTCCAGAGTGCTAGGATAATAGGCATGCACAATGACCCATTTGTGTGGTACTGGGGATTGAAATTAGGGCTTTACACACACCAGGCAAGTACTGTACCAACTGAGCTACATCCTTAAGCCCCAAAGCATTTATTAATATATATGTACATACACACACACGCACGGCACATCACGTTTTTCTTTTTCACTTATCTCACCGTTAGCCAGGAGACCACTCTCTGTCCTGTGAGAATGGGAGCAGTTTTTCTTGGTGCTTTATTTATTTATCTCTCAGCTTGATCTTTTCTGTCACTGTTCATATAGGTGACAGTGACACCTATATGAACACACACAGGTGTGTGCCTGTGGGTACAGACACATAACTGTACGGCTGTATCTTCTGAAGCCGTCTCAGGTTGGCTGCTAGTTAGAACTGAGGACATCCAAAACCGTACCTAAACCATGTTAGGATGACGGCCTTGAAAGGTGGCAGGTGGCACTCCCTGAGGTCCAGCCTCAGCCCAGTGCTGGGAGCGTTAGGAGCAGAGGAAAAACTGTTCCTGAATTATTTTAAGACTCTCAATGTTGCTGTTCTCCTCTCCTTTCTTCACCAGCCCACTGAGAGTTATGTCTGGCCTTGTTCACCAAATTGGGTATGCCAGGATACAGGTTAAAAGGGCCTGGTGCTCATGTGGTGTCTGCTTGGACACCTCCAAGGTAACTCCCCATACCGCTTGGGAATTCCTTTGACTGTTCTTTAACAAGCCAAGAGCATCACGGGCTGCCATTCATCAGTCGGCCACCATCTGACAAAGAAGAGACAAGGAAAGACCGGCCTCTGAGGCGCATCCCTTGCCAGTTGTGGACATCCGCTCTTCACAGCAGAGGAGTACTCAGGCCTGTTCTAAGTTACACAGCTTGTGGTGTCTGGACAAAAAAAGGCCTAGAAACAAGCATGCTAACTTCGTTGTCACTTGTAATTAACATCCCGGAGACTGCCTCGGGAGTTGCCTCTCTTTACCCAAGGTATTACTCACTACTCTGGGGTCAATATATGCCTCAGTAATCTCTCTGACTGCTGAGAGCCGATAACACAGTGCTTTTGTTTTTGTTCATGTACACGACACATGGTTAGCAGAGGGTCTGTTTGATTTTGTACACTACATGTGGTTGTGCACACTACACTGTTTAAAGGGTCCACGTGACTGTAGATACACTACACACACAGACACACACCGTGACTGAGTACACACTTTACGTGTAGTTAGAAAGGGTCCATTGGATTGTGCACATTCCATGCACGCGGTGAGAAAGGGTCCATGTGACTGTGCACATGCTACACAGAAAGGGTCCATGCGTTTGTGCACATTGTACACGTTGAAAAAGATAAATGCAATTGTGGACACCCGGTTAGAAAGGGTCCAGGTGACTGGGCACAGCCTGGCGCAGGCGATAGGCGCGCCCACCCAGCAGCCAGCCCCGCAGGCCCGAGGAGGCCCCTCGCACGCCCACTGAGCCACGGCCGCCCGGGAGGCCCGCGCCACCCACGGTCCCGGGCCCAGCGTAGCCCGCGGGTGGCCGCCACCCAGGCCAGCGGCCGCGGCCGGGCGCGCGCTCCCCGGGGCGGCCGCGGCGCCTTTAACCCGGGCGGCGGGC